CCCACACCGTGAGCTCTGCCCGGCTGTGCTGCCCGGACACCCCACACCGTGAGCTCTGCCCAGCTGTGCTGCCCGGACACCCCACACACGTGTTGAGGTGGCATTACCTCTGAATACAGCACTGAACACGGTTCCAGTCTATCCATCCATATTTTCCAAGATAGCAAAAAACGAGAGGGTGCAGAAGAGAACCACAAAACTGATCTGAAGACTGAAGGTGATGCCAGGCAGCAAGAGTGTTAAAATATTTAGTTCCTCAAAGAGATAGCACAGAAGGCAGCTTATGAGAAAGACAACAAGGTACTGGTATTTTACCGTGGGGCACCCATGGTAACCACAAAGAGCTGTACAGACGTAGCCATCAAAGGGCATTACCTGTGACTGGGGATGTCACATGCAGATAACCATATCACATCAGTGGGGTTGGCATTAAAGAGCCAGGTGTTTTTAAGTATTAACACACAGGTTTAGCAGTGGTGGTTTCCATAGCATCGTTATAAGCACAACAGTCAATAATATCAGCACACTCATCTGATGTGTTTGTCTCTCTCACCTCAAGTGTCAGATACTCCAGCTCTTCCCTACACAGAGGCCAAAGCCCTCAGCTTCGCTACATGCAATCTCTACAATATAATTTCACATGATTAAATACAAAAATGAATCCTCCTTACACCCAAAAAGGAAATGTAGAGACAATCCAAAATACATTTATAAATAACAGTAAGGGTTTGCCATGCAAACTGTGATTTTCATATGTAATTCATAATGAAAAACTAAATCTGAATTTAACTGCAAAATAATTATTACAGTGCCAGAGTATTCTAGAACATTTTCTACCCTATGGGAGCATTTCACACAGTGTCTTCCAATGCGTCTATAAGGGGCACAAAAGAGAATCATGTGTATGTTCAGAAAAAAGTGGCAGGCTGACACACAGGCAGCACAGTCTCTGGAGAACATTGGCCATGACTGCCTTGTTTGGTGTCAGAGCAGAAGAACTGGAGACAAAGCTCTCAGGGTGACAACAGCTGGGCCATTAGTGATCTTACATTTCTTTCACTGCCCCTTTCAGCAGCTGTGCAGCTGAAGGCTGGTCCCAAAACAAGGGGAGGGTGCTGTGTGCATCTCAGCCAGCAGCACACAGTGTCTTTCCTCCGATGGACAACCCTCTTAATCACATTCCCTTCCCTCCATTTTGCCAGTGTGATGAGGCTTGTATCTGGAAAGAAAGGAATTTTCTCTCTCCCAGAGGAAATGTCTTAGTTCTGGCAGCCTTTTATGATTTTGTATGTCTCTGAAATCTGAGACAAGAAACTGAGCTGATTTCTATTGTGGGATCTATTCCTCAGGTCCAGTGCTGGCTCTCTCTTCCTCTAGATGCGAACCCAGAAGTTTTGAAATAGTATTTATAGTCAATTGGATTTAGGTCCTGCTGTTTCACAGGAAAGCTGAGAATCAAAGTATTTTTAACTAGGGCTTGATTTTAGTGCTTCTCTATTTCTCTTAGTAGAGCAATGCTTTCGATACCAGCAAATAAAGGTTTTTGCTCTCATCAGTAGCTTCCTTTTGGGAAGAAGGTAAGGCCACAGCTGTTGTTCTACTTTGTCTGCCCTCTGCTCCTTCCACTCATTTGTTCACATGATTTATCCATTCCTAGCCACTGAAATTCTTCAGTTCTTCCTCCTTTCCTCTCACAAAGGTTATGGCTGTGCTCAGCCACACACTTACCATGCAAGCTTCTAGTAGCCTTTTTTTTTTTTTTTAAACAGGAATCAGACCACACAAATATAATGGCAGCAGTGTTCACTGTAATGCTGGGGGATGGAGAAATTAGAAATCAGACTGCTCCCTTTTTCGGCTCAGCTTCAGTGTTGTTTACGTTAGTTCAGGTCTCTCATGTTAAGCTACTATTCCAATTCTTGGGTTTGGAGGGCTCCTTCAAAGAAGGTAATTTTGTAAATTTTAGAGGCTTCCTTTCAATGCAGCTGCTTTTATCCTATCAGATTCATTCTCATGCAACATGAGAATTTTCTAGCAAATTATTAATTTACTGGTTTTTAAGGTAGTAGAATCAAGACCACCTTATATTCAAGAGCTTTGTGACCATCAGATTTGCAGTGTCTAAGAAAGTCTAAGTTCTGACACAGGTTTTCGGTCTGTTAAACTACATTCATAATGTCTCTCCAGGCTGCAGTTCCCTGACGCCTCAGCCTGTGACACCCCCAGCAGTGTGCACACAGGGATTCAGCTCAGCCTGTTTCCTCTACAGAGCTGGTCACAGCTCTACAGGGCAAGAGTGAAGCTAAAGACTTTCAGTCACCACCTACATCACTCCATGCACCAGCTGAGGTCTGGCAGTTGCTGTTCACAGCTCATTGTGTGCAGAGCCTCAGTCACTGCAGCGATGCCACATAAGAACTCCGTGTGCTTGCAATGCTGTGTCTCCTACCATACCTGTCTGTAAACAGCTCCCACAGGTGTAGATGCTACTTTGTAGAAGTGTTAATAGGATAAATAGTAAAAAATAATAATCAGTGACATCAACTAGACTATTC